ACATAATGAAACGGGTATTAAAAGCAAGTAACGTCTCCAATCTTATGAAAGAAGTTTTAGACAAGATAAAATAAATTCGTTTCTCTTAAATTTACAAGTTTATTTTTTCAACCTAGTTGCCATTTAGTCCTACAGAATTACTCAAACTTTCTATCCCTTTTTTCATTCCGTTTCTTATGATATGATGTACATATCTAAAGAAATCGAACACAACATTTGAATTTGATGGGCGCCGTTACGAATGAGGAGACGATTGACCCTAGGCGAATTTTTATTACGATTCTGATTGGTTAATAAGGTAATGGGCGAAGGGAGATAATAAGGTTTGCATTTACTACATACATCACCATGAAGAAAGTTTCTGCTTTATTTTTTTGTGCAACTGCGTACATTAACATCAATTTTAGCATTGGATTAAAAATGCTTTCGTTTTCAAGAACAACCAGAAATAGGACGGTGTTAAATTAAGTGTGCACGGGTAATATGTCAAAATTTCCAATCCAGGCTTTTCACCGTTTGTACCGTTTGCTGACTGCAGTGCGATTTTACGTTGACGTGATGAAACAAAATAATCCTTTCAGGCTTTACTCTAAAGATGCATTGTTATACTGATAACGCCTGATAAGAATTCAATACTAAATTTTTCATACGTAAAATAATTGTTCATTCACTTCTGGACTTTGTCAAATTAACGTTGGCTGAATCGAGGGTATGTGGTTTTAGAGAGTTTCTTTGAACATTCGATCTTCTTCTCACATGGATGTGAAGGACTCTCCGTTCTCCTCGTGAGTCGGGCATTTATATAACTCCCTTTCATTTTTTCATTGTCTCAAATTCGGCTGGTTTCATTTCCTGTTTATGTCGACGAACCCATCGACATATTTTTATGCATGATTCTGCACTTAGTGGCTATGAGGTTAGTTTCTACTTTCTCTGAGGTATTTAGCTCTATTGACGTTCGAGTTAACACCAAGTACAAAACTTGCTTTGTTACATACTGGAGTCACCACAGATAAACACTTCTTAGATCAAAATGTTCTTGCTTGATATTAAATTCGATTCAGACCTTTGTATTTCCTGACGTAAATCTGTGGGAAAATGAAATAAAACCAACAAATAAAATAATGATAAAGAATTAAATATATATTTTTACGTTTATACATTCTTTTTATAGATACAAATATTTAAGTAAAAGCTCTGTTTATAATAAACAACATTTACCGGCCTGAATGTCCGAGAAATTTTCACAGAAAATATTCGTCCTCCGACAGAATTCGAACCTGCATCCTATACGAAACCGTCATTTAGCTTGACGTGCCTTTACCGATTTGGCCGCAGAGGCGCGTTCGGTTAGCAAGGTCGAATTTACTGTATTTGAACTTGAATATTCATATCTGCTCATGGCGTATCAAATGTAAACAAATGACGTCACACATTATGAAATGGACAAAGTCCGACAATTATTTTAAGACATTTTTATGTTTATACATTCTTTTTATAGATACAAATATTTAAGTAAATGCTCGGTTTATAATAAACAGTATTAAACAACATTTACCGGCCTGAATTTCGGAGGACGAATATTTTCTGTGAAAATTTCTCGGACATTCAGGTCGGTAAATGTTATTAATACTGTTTATTATAAACAGAGAATTTACTTAAATATTTGTATCTATAAAAGAATGTATAAACATAAAAATGTCTTAAAATAATCGTCGGACTTTTGTCCATTTCATAATGTGTGACACACACACACACACACACACACATATATATATATATATATATATATATATATATATATATATATTCATTTTTCAAGTTATAAAAAAGGAACTGAAAAGGGTTTCTGGTCACATGTGCGATTTTATAACCTCACTTCCGGAAAAGACAGACTCTTTCTTTTTCCACTTTCCAACGAGGTCGTTCAGGCGTTTTTTCAGCAGCCCTACTCATGAAGTAGAGATTCGCCCATCCTAACTCAGAGCGAGGCTGACTTAAGCGTAACCATCTTTACTCGTTCTTATCCTCACTTCCCATAAATTATTTATTAACCAATAATGAAAACGAACATACTCAAGAGACATTTTTAACTTTGTTTCAATACAGTCAACATAAAAGAAATAAACGTTCGTAGCAGAAACTCAAGTTTTTTTTGTTGTATGCTTCTGTGTGTGTATTTACGTGATGTTGTATTAGAAACCCGCGTGTAACTCCTGGTAGAATATTAAAAGATCCAGCTACATGAAAATTGACGGACTTAATTTGTCCAACTGAAGATGAAAGAAGACAAACAAGATAGATATATATATCAACAAATATGTATTAAACAAATTACAAGGCACATAGACATAACGTTGTGTGTGTTCTTTGGTGAATGTTATTTTGATGAATGTTTGTAATGTTCATAGGGTTTTCCAGAAATGGGAAACGCTGACCTTCTAAGAGCTTACATCATGTCGCTGAAATAAAGAAGAAAAAGAAATTTACCTCACCTCCACGCGAGGTGAAATGCGGCACGAAGCCTGAGGGAAAAAGAGATCGAGGCAAGAGGTCGCCCGGTATTTATAGCATGGGGCGAGAGACCCCTGGTGAAGAATTAGAGAATTAAGGAGGAGGTAACTCCTACACTTCTTCGACCTTCTTTCTTTATATATTGAAAAAGCATCTTCCCATAAAAAATACACACAAACCCCACAAGCTTGTTAACATCCACAAATCACATACTGCAGTTGTTTAAGTACTTGCAAAGTTTCATTTCTTTTTTACAGTTGGGGATTTTCGATTGGTACGCGACCTTCTAATGCTAAATATTCTATCAGTGATCGCAGCTTCACTTATTTGGTAAAGTACTAAAGGCTCTAATCAACTCTGAATTAGTCATGTATTTCACATCGCTGTGTTTTCTTTCAGATAAGCAATATAGCTTTCGCTTCTCCAGATCAACTGCTGATGTTTCAAACGATTATTGCTGAAAGAGTCTATTAAGCTTTAGATAAGAATGGTGAAGCTCGAGTCGTTGCTTTGGGCATCTTTGATTGAGTTTGGTATGGCGTTCTTCTTCACAAGTTGAAAGGTTATGGTATTTCTGGACGGATTTTGAACTGATTCACTCTTTCTTATCAAATCGCGAAATGAAAATTGTCCTGAACAGTCACTCTTCTAGGTCTTTCTGTAGTAATGAATGTGTCCCCAAGGGCTCAATCTTTGGACATACGCTGTTCCTAATTTTCATCAACGACCTTTTTGGTTGCGTTAATTCTCAACTCGGTATCTATGCTGATGATACAATTATTTAGTCCAGTCTTAATAGCAAATCTAATCAGTTCAATAAGGAAAACTTGGCAGCTGCTTTTCTGCCTTCCATCAGCATGGCTGATGCTAACCTTCCAGAGACTGACTCGCTGCGCCTTCACGGGCTAACATTCTCGGCTGACATAAAGAGAAAATTATATTGAATCAATTGCTAGGTCTACTGATCGAAAAGTTGGTTCAATGTGTGTAGGGAACTTATTATGGGCCAGAAATAAAGTCACAAAGAGAGGAATTGAGTTAAACAAATATATTAACAGAAACAGTAATACAAACATATACAAACGAGGATGTTACAGTAAGAATGTTCGGTTCGACTGTCAGAGCTGACTGCTGGCAACTTCCCTCTCCAAAATGTAATACCTGCTCCTATTTATAGCTGGGAGAGTCCATGCGTGCGTGGGTAAATTACTATAACAGGGTGTCGAGTTAGACAAATTTTCTCTCCAGAATTTATCTTACATATTTATAAGTCTACCATTCGTCCATGCTTTGAATATTGCTGCTACATTTGATCTGGTGCTCCCTTTATGCATTTAGAGATTATTGATAAAATCCAAAGAAGAATCTGCAATGTTATTGTTCCTGACCTGTCACCTCGGCTTCAGTCAATTTCCCACCGCCGTAATGTTTCTTCTCTGTGCCTTTTCTATAAATACTTTCATGGTAATTGTTCTGACGAACATTTCTCTTTGGTATCTAGACATTATGAAGTTAAGCTCAGTAGTAGATTTGCGGCACGTTCTATGTTAACAGTTTCTTCTATGACACTTCTCGCTTGTGGAACTCTCTTCTGGTTTGTTTCCCAGTGAACTTTGGTCTTCAAAAATTTATATATAATTTCAATCGTTATCTTCTGTCTTCTTAATTCTTGTTATATTATTATTCTCTATCCTTAATAGTATTTTTCTCATACTCTCTAACACTCAGTAATCCCTTGCATCTCAGTGGCTTTATTGCTTTGCTTGGGGTGAATGGATTAAAAAAAATACTCAGTGCTGCCACTGATATTTGCATCTGCATCTGCATACTACCGAATCGACGTTCAAACATATTTCTGCTTCCACTATTACTTATGTGTTCCTTTATTTACCCGCAAGTGCGTGTGTAAGTGTGTGAACAGTAACAACTCAGTAAATCAGGGGTCCTCAAAGGGGTTAACTTCGGCGGATGGAGATCGATGGGACTAGTCAGGGGTCGATGAATATCTGAGGGTCAAAATGGGGTCGATAAATAAACATAAAGACTCACGAATTTCCAAGCAAATATCAATCCAGTTACTCTTGCTCATCAAACACATCCTTTCCAATGATGTCATAAAATATACATTAATTTATTGTTAATGTGTTTATTATTTTTTTTAGCAATTCACCCCAAGCAAGGCGGAAGTGCCATTAGCACGCAAGGGGTTACAGACGATTGAGAACAAGAGTAAGGAGGCGTGTTTGAGGAAGAGATACAAAGGAGGACGGGGAACAAGCTCAGGGTGTCAGATGTCGATTGACATTACACTTGAATATTTGAAGATTATAGTCATCGGGGAAGCAAGTAAGGGGAAGGGAGTTCCACAGACGGGAAGTGCAGGAGAAGAAGCTTTTTGAGTAGAAGAGACGGTTACATTTAACCGTTATCTATATTATTATTTGTAATGTTTCTTCTTTTACTTCTTCATTTTCTTGGCTTATTACCATATTACGTTGAAACACTGGTTCTCGTCTGATCACCGAAGTTAAGTAACGTCGAGCCTTGTCAGTGCCTAGATGGGTGACCGCTTGGGAATATCAAGTGCTGCAAGCTTGAATGTGCGTGTGGTGTAATAACTACTCGGAATTAGTTAATTGGAGAAGCAAGTCCCAATTCCATTCGAGTTCCTTATATTCACTGTACGTGCAAGTACCTTTGAGAAAGGTATGAATCCACCTCTTCTCCCTCCAGCTGTGGGTTTATTAGTATGACTTGTATCAGTAAATAATTATTATCTCAAAAAATATTTTCTGACTTTAAATGACATGCAAAAGGTTGTAAAGGCTTAAAAAACAAATCAATCAATTTTCTTCTGATTATTATTATTCGAACAAACATATCTAGTATAGAAATTTCAAAAGGAAACAAAGGATTATGGCTAAAATGAATCTTAAGGAGAAACAATAATAAGGGAAAAGTGAAAAAGGATTACTATCCTTAACCCCTTCCCCGACGCAGACGTGTATTACCGAAAGTGTCCTTTTCAGACACTGACGAATAAACACGTTCAAAAAATAACGTTAAAAAAGAGCTACAGACGTCTTTACACGTCGACCTTGATTCTTTTTATGCTCTTTTGAGTTTGAAGCGAGTCCAGATGTCAACTCATACGTCTGGTAAAGGTGTTAGCCAACGTTCGGGTACTTCAATGTACCTCAGTTTCTTAGTTTGCTGAAACAAATAAAAATAAAAATTATCTGTAAATGAAACGTTTTTCCCAAAAACAACTGGCGATTAAGGGGTTTGAAACAATTAAGAAAAAATATTATTGACTTTTTTGTACATGCTTGGAACTGGATGAATGATTAAGGGTACCATGGACGCATCGATGGTCTAAATGGTTTAAGAACCCCTGCAATAGATAAAGAGAAAAAAAGCCTCTAATTATTTGATTTAGAAGTCCTCTAAAATCGGCTTGCTATGCCAAATCTTACATTTGACGTAATTATTACAGCTGCAGTAATTTTTTTTATCTCCACGATTCGCCCACTATTTATCTTTCACTCAAACTGTTTTCCTTTTTCTTTTCTTTTAACGCTGCCTCTCTTCAAGCTAGCCGATTTATACTTTAAAGTTTGGCTGTGTTCTACATTACTATTCACTTCACTTTCTTTCAAATCCCCAAAGGATTGTACACTTCACACTTTATTTTAACGTAGTGCATAGCAAATAATAACATACGCTGTCAAGCGTATTTATTCGCTTACAAATACATAAACACAAAAGAAATGATGTCTATACAAATGTTATTGTATCTAACGGTTCATTGACACTACAGTTAACTTCATGAAAAAGTCCATGGAAAGAGGATAGCATATATTACGTTACAACCACTTTTCATGTAGACTTACGTGACTAAATGCCATAGACAACACATCAATACGCACTACAAGCATTTCAATAATATTAGACAGCTACTTTCTAATAATACTAGTATGGTTTATTGTGACGTCCCGCAGCTGCGGCCTTCGCTCGCTCCTCGCTGCTTCGTTCGGGTGTCGCCGCTCCAAACGTAACGTCCGCCTGTCTGCGTCAGTCGTGTTGTCCCGTCCTGTGACGACCAACTGGCTTGGTATCGGTCGCAGCACCCAAATGTGACGTTCTAACCTTTTGGTGATTCGGATGGGAATCTGGTCAGATCCGATATCAGCCTCGTCGTTCTCAACTCGCTTCTAACATCTGGTTACCAAAGTAACTGCGTTGATCTTTAGTCCGCCTACCCACGTTGTGAATTGATCTTAGGCAGACGAAATCAATCAGTCGTTGGGGCCGTAATGCAAGTTGAGTTCAAACGAGGGTGGTATCACACAAATATGTATAAAAGAAAATAAAATGATAACTCAAAAGTTCAAGGTATCAAAAAAAGGATAACAATACTTTATATCTGGTTGCTGGATACATAGGACTGCGTCTATCTCCCGACCCGCTATATGGATTGTGACATGTTGTTTTTGTTAGGTGAGTTTTAACATCTTAAGTTGTCTGTTCTTTAAGAAATTGGTTCATGGTGTGTCTTCAGGCGATAGTCGAAAAACTTATTTTGGTGGTATGGATCTAAGTCGCTCTTCAAAATAAATTATTCTTGGATTGAAGATGAGTTCGGAAGTTGCGCGAATCTTTCAAGTCAGCTCTGCGAGGCCTGCTTCAACTGAGCACTGAAGACTGAACTCTGGAAAACCGGAGTCCGAACTTAACTGATTTCTGCTCGCTGCGACTTTGCTTATATGGACGCCGACCAAAACCGGGGTGGGCTTTGTCGGGGTTGGAGGTTCCTCGATAATTCTAAATCCATATCCACTTCTTTTATTTTTGGTCAGGAATTTTCCACTCCTTTCCATTTTTGGAAGTCTTCTCTTACTCCCACCTTCTCTTATTCTCATATGGATATCTCACCATACTTCAGAGGGGCGTCAACGGTTCTCCCCACTTCTTCGTAGCAACTTCTCATACCTATCCTCTAAATGGGCGGCGGCGGCTCCCCCCTTGCGTCACGTGATCACCTCCGCCTGGCCCTCATTGACATTCGGCCAATGGCGTCCAACCGGCTGGGTGTGATCCGGCTAGCTTTTTTTTAAGAAAAAAATATATCTTGCTCAAAAGAAAAAATTATCTTTTTCTTTTCCTTTTCTTTCCTTAATCGCAGCTCTCATCCCCAATGTCACCTGGGATCTATCAATGCCAATTATCAAGTGGGTAATCGTCTAGCGAAACACAGCCGATTCCCCTCTCGAAAAAAACAGTTTCATTGTCCTAGCCGTATTTGCATTCTTGGTGCCAATTTCTGATAACATAGTTTTATTATCATAACCGAATTCTAACACCCATAGATGTCTTGTCAAAACGGCAAAGACTTAAACCAGGGTTGGCTTCGTGCGCGGTTAACAGATGGCCTATTAAATCCTTTCCCGACAATATTGTTTGCCGCCTCTGACACAGTTAATTTTTCTTATCTATCCAAAGCTCTGTATTCACCGGTTCCTTGTCAGGCAATCCTACGACACTGGCCGTCAGAATTTTCACCATCTTTTTCCATTATCAAAATAACATTGTCGAAATGTCTCGGAGCCGGTCTGTAGTTTGTCAATTAGATGTTCGCCAGCATTAAGTGGCTGTTATCTATTCCCGATGACATAAGTCCGCCACCACAACACAGTCGATTTTCTTATCCATTTAGAATTTTCTGCAATGGAAATGAAACCTTTCACCATTTGCTACTTATCAAAATAATATTGTCAATGTCCCCGGTCGTGGGTGGTTTCTTTTATCATCTAAGCTTAAGTCTCGCCTCTCTTTTCCTTTCTTTCCTTTCTCTTTTTCCTTTATTTTTTTTCCTTTTTTCTTTTTGTGCTCCTAAATGGTGTCACATTATAAATATAATTGTAAAAAACGACTAAAGGTAATAGAAGCCATTTATATCTAACTTAAGCAACCATTCATAAAAAAAAATAATTATTTGTTGTAGATTCCGGGATGAAATCCGGTCTCAAATGAATGATAAACGCAGGAATGAAATATAGCAAATAAATGTATTGACGTAATAATACAATTGGTAATACGGTTAGTAGATCCAGAAATGCGGTTAGTAGCAATAATAATATATATATACAGTCTGGGAAATTCAGTATCGAAATATGACTTCCTTCTGAGTCTACGTGCTCGCAACTGTGACTCCTACCAAGCGGTTACCTCACACTCTCACTCTCTCACTGTATCACTGTCACTCACACTCTGACTCCCGGATATTCGCCGGCTGCAGTACTGAGCGAGTCCACTTGTATCAAAAAGGGGTGGACTACTTTATACTATTGTTTAAGACTCTGCATTTAAAATAATAATAATAATAATAATAATCAATTTACACGTTATGTCACGTTGCTGTGTCGTGACTGGTTGCGTTTGATTTAATTGCCAAAAATAAATAATGATACATTCTACTTCTTAAAACATACTTATTTTTCTCACTCACCCACTGATGATGAATCATGCGAGGCAAAAGCCTGGGAATACGCTACATAAATGTTGTCCAATTTATCCACACACAACAACCACATTTGCAAAAGGATATTCATACATTAGTAAAAAAGAAAAGAAAAAAAAACATCAATGAATAAATACAATAGACATAAAATGTCTATTGTTAATAACAATACTTGTTGAAACGAACAATTGATTTTCAAATATAACCGGAGTGAAGTCGCAAAAGTATATGTTCCTTCATATTTATACAGACGAGAGCTAACATACGCTTGGCATATCTCTGTACTATTTTGTACCAAATACAGGTGTTATCTGGAATAGTGATGCGAGTGGGAATTCTTCAACTTATAAAATAAGAGTGTAATAAACTGTAAGGTTCTCTCCTATAAGGGGGGGGGCGCAGGTTAGAACTCTGCTGGAGACCGCATTTTCTTTATTAAGTCTCTCGAACGCATAGGCTGATAGGCGTAATTAGCACTCTCAAAGGAAAAAGAGTCTAATCAAATATCTGTATCCATTAAAATAATGTTTAGAGAAATAAAAAACATACGCGCATAAACATACACACACACACACGCAAACGCACATATATATATATATATATATATATATATATATATATATATATATATATATATATGGAGAGAGTAAAGTTCATTTATCTATTCCCTGTTGTTGTTTTTTTTTTTTTTAATTTAATATTGTGCAGTTTAGTGCGTCTTGAACGCATTGTCCTCCAGTAATTTGCTGGTCAATAGTTTTACTAGGCGTAAACTATATTTGTTTTGGAGGGGATGTGTCAACAGTAGCAACCAATTTCTCTTTTTAATGCTGTCAGTTGATTGTTTGTCATTTGTATTACATTGTAAGGGAAGGTAGAAATCAACGAAAGACATCTTTATCAAACAATTTATTCGGCGGAAAATCTTTAGGCATCGTGCAGAAGAGAGTAATCTGAAAGACAAATATTAACATGACTTACCGGCATTCGGTGCTACTTTTATATATATATATATATATATATATATATATATATATATATATATATATATATATATATATATATATATACACA